TTTCCGAACGAAGCAGTAGAGGTCGCTGTTGGATTAGACTTTGTTGTAGTGAATCTCTTCGCGAGGCAAGAGCAGAAAAAAAGATTTCATGTAACGCAAAAGGGTCTTTTTTCGTTGAATGGGGGGCAGGAGAGTGGGCATGGTGTTAATGCATGAAGATTTTTTCACATTAGGGGATATTATCGCCCATGTAGGTTTCGTTGTAGAGGAGTTTCACTGTAGTCCTAATTTTTTATACTATATTTTGTTCATATACCTGTACTGTATACTGAAGTTTTTGTGTGATAAACAGTTTTTGGGCAATATATTGTTGCACTTTGTTGCTTGTGTTGTCACACATGTATGTTGTTAACATACTTGGACGTTCATACAGGATATATACCATAGTTGTTTCACTGTTCTCATTAAAAAAAAAGTATGGTTATATGTTAATACAATAATGCTTTTGTTCTGTTGATGTTTGGTATGGACTGTCAACATATGCAGTTTTTCATATGTACAGTAGCTTGTGCTGACCCGGCCCGCCTGTCAAATTTTAGAAATCAATGTGGCCCCCGAGCCAAAACGTTGGCCCACCCCTGCGCTAGATCCAACTCCACGACCCCACCCATGCTCCGCCGTCCCCAATTTCTTCCACTTGTTTTGCAACATGATCCTGGCTGATCCTTTAACACACGCTACCACCTGCTGGAGAGATTTTAAATGACTTACAATGCAGACAAGACTGATGCTGAGAGACTGTGTCAGACCCTTCTGCACACTATGTCGCCCCCCCCCCAAAAAAAGATGTTTAAATACGTCATGGGTAGGCAGTTGTAGTGGGTTTTTAAGACGTAGTTATACGTCATGGGGATTGAATGAGTTAAAATAGCAATTGGCTTGCAACCAAGTGCTTGGAGTACTCCTTTCACCCAAAATCAGCTGGGATTAAGCTCCAGCAAGCGGTAAAGAAAATGGATGGCTGGACAGATAAAAATGTATGCCAAAATGAAAACATTTGATTTCAGTTTGCAACTTTGCCTTTTAAATGAAAATTTTATTTTTTGCTTTGAACGTGACAATATTACTCCAACTATGTGGCCTGAAAGACATTGAACAATAGACCTGGGACTCATCGAAACATCTATCTGCAGATCTTTCTGATTTTTATTGGAGTAGCCCTGGCCTAGTGTCATCTCTGACCTCTACTCACCTGTGACCTTCTTTTCATCATCATCATAGTTGCTGGAGGTGAGCAGGTGACCAAAAATTAGGGCTGGGACATACATTTTCTCATCTTTGTGCTCCACCACTGGTATTCCTTTCCCATTGTTCCAGATAGAGATGGTGTTGGACTCACTGGTGGAAGTGGATTAGAGGAAAATTAATGAGTACAACAAGTTAGGACAGAATGAAAAATGTCAATGATTTTCAGACAATGTTGTCCAAAACAAACATCTCTCTCCATGAGATAAAAGAAAACGAATGCAACATTGTACTTACGGGTCAATGTTGATCTTAATGGCACTCATGTTTTTATCCCTCTGTTTGTTATCTGCTGCATTGACTGTGGAAGGAAGAATTTCAAAAGGTATGCTATTTAATTGAATTGCAATCAGGGTGTGCTCAGACAGACACAAGTCCACGATGAAAAGATATTTTCTTTCTTCATCTGAGTTTGCATAACAAACAGATTAAGTCAAATTAAGACTTTTTAAAAGAACCCCAGACTGTCATGACATGTTTGTTCTATATAATTCATTTGGATTTTTTTCCAGTTTAAAAAAATTAAAGATGATTCTGATACTTTTTGTAGAAACTTTATTTGCATGTACATCATCATTGCATTTTATGTCGCAATGCATTCTGGAATGTGACATAACATTTTAGTGCTTTATTTTTTTCCTTTTTAGCAGTCACAGCAATCTGTTCAGATGTGGTGAGCTCCTCCATTCTGGCTTTTCAATGGAAAACCAGACTGCGGCAGACACATTGGACAGGCATGTTTCTGCCAAGCTGATGACTGGCATTTAATATTAATTGTTTCCTCCGTTGCGGATTTGGTGGCTGGTGGCCAGTGGTAGTTGCAGGTGCAGAAGAAGAAGCATGGTCCAGTTACGTGCCCAAAATCATCTGTCTGAGCTGAGAACGATGAAGGCTTCAAGTGCGCCTGAGCTAAAATGACGAGAGCACAGCTGCAGGACTTGGGGCAGGTGGACTCTTCCAATCACATCCTGCCACTGCTTTCTTAACTAATTTCCTTTCGGAAAGCTATGGACTCATACCTCGCTTCCTTTATTCCCCTTTGTTTGAAGATTACGTCCCAAAAAAAACAAAAAACACGCAGTGTGGCATTTTGAAGTGGTTTACAATGTTTTGCTTTGCTGAGCAGAGAGCAACAATGTGGGCAGCAACCATATCACCTCATCATCCCAGAATGGATTGCGCATCCGAAAACATGGCGGCCACTGTTTATCAAATTATGTTGTGAACAAACAAGATTTAAAAAACTTT